GGGGGGGGGGGGGGGGGAGAAACAAGCGATTTCTGTAGGCAATCTCTCCTTTGCCTGACCCTCCCCCCCCACCTCACAGAGCTGAAAGATTGGAGACAAAGGGATTTCAAGAGAGTAACATGTTTGCGTAGCACACCTGCAGCTCCTAGCCCCCGGCTGTGGCGTGATTGCATTGCTTTTGAGGTATACAAGGCAGTAAGCAGGCACTCCAGCATTTCAAAAGTCAGGGGAGGGGTTAGGAGGCAAACAAAAGCCAAAGGTGTGAAACTGACTAGTCTTGTCTCTTTCCAGCTGGAAAGCAGAGTCATGGTCACATGATTTCCTTTTTTTAAAATAATTTTATTAAAGATCATATAGCACAGATAAAACATATACAAACCCTAATACAAAATTACATTAAAAAAATAAGAAAATGCAGAGAAAAGAAGAAAAAATCTCCCCCAAAATAAAAATAAAAAGAAGAAACTTCCCCCTTCATCCCAGCAAGTATATACAATATTAACAATTTATCACTGTCTCTTAAAATACTACCAAATACATTTTCATTCCATACTTCACCCCATTTTCTGTAGACCCATTTCTAAATCCTCAGCTCTCCTTATTAATCAACAAAAGGTATAAAGATTGACAAACATAACTAACAACATATTTAGCTCCCCTTTCCATTTAAACATAATCTCCCTAATCCCTCTCTTAATAATCAAAATCTAATCCCAATTAACAATTAAAGATTACAAAAAGATAAAAAATAACCATTAATCATCATCAGAGATAGCAGCCCATTATTAATCCCAATTAACAATTAAGCATTACAGAAAAATAAAAACTGTTAAACATTACCAGAAATAGTAACCTCTTATTCATATGCCAAAAATAGTAACATAGATATTAGAAACTAATCTATTACACCCAATTAGACATTTCCTAAAAAGAGTTATCCAGTCAAAGTAACCATTAAACGTCACCAAAAATAACAACTCATTGCTTAACCATAATCAAAACAGTTTTGTGTTTTTTCTTCTTCCTCCCATCAATCCTTGTATCTCATAGATAAAATTCTAGCATCTGCTTTCTTCTATTATCCATGTCTCTTCTCTTAAAATCCTTGTCATCTTTATCAAAGTCCGTATGTAATTTCAATGTAGTCACTCCTGTAAGTCTCTTATATTCCAATTTAAATGGGTAATCCACATCCCTCTTTTGATACATTATTTGTATACCTTTTTTAATTTTCAAATGATCATCCAATTACGGGTAATCCACATCCCTCTTTTGATACATTATTTGTATACCTTTTTTAATTTTCAAATGATCATCCAATTACGGGTAATCCACATCCCTCTTTTGATACATTATTTGTATACCTTTTTTAATTTTCAAATGATCATCCAATTCAATTTGTAAATCCAATATTTCCATCTCTTTCTTATATGTTAATTTTTTAAAATCCACGTTAAAATCCGTCTCCGTTATCTTCCATGGAATTTGGTTCTCTTCAGTAGCAAATAACAATAGCAACAGGACATCAGTTTGCTAGCATCACCAGAAGTGTGAATCACAGTCATATGATTTCCTACTCAGCAACTGCTTCGCTTAGAAGCAGAGTTGCCAGTCCCAGTTAGGGTCATTAAGCGAAGACTACCTATATTGACATGAGCTTAATAACCAAAAGAAAATGATGTCTCTTACTTACTCTTACATCTGCTATGAATCAGTTGGTATAAAAGTAATGGTGACTTGAATTGTCTACAACTGATTTATACTCTCTATGTATAAAATGTTTATTCTTCCATTTTTCTTTTGTATCTGTGTTATTTGTTGTACCTAGTTTTTGTAATGTATAGTTTTGGTTGAATTGTTGATAATACATTTTTGTTGTTTTTGTTTTGTTTCTACTTGCATTTTGTAAGGAAATCAGTAAAAACAAACAACACATTTACAGTTCTAGTTTTTATGGAAATCATTTTGCACTAACTTTGTGTAAAATGCACACTTTCTGAAAATATCGGTTTGATATTTTGCTTGGAAAATTAAACTTAACTGATTTTTTTAAAAAAATAAGGCTTGCTTTAATAAAGAAGAAAGAATCCCCTTGAACTCTGGGCTAAAGTTATTGGAGTCTGACAGAACTATTTTTTTTAAGCAGCACACAGACACTGAAACAGAAGTTGAAACGACTAGTCTGATTAATCTGGCTAGTTCAGCAAGTGATACAGATGTGATATCAGAATTTAGCATTGGAGCCGCTTCTTCTATTAGCAAAGCATCAGGTAAGAGCAAATGTGCCTTGTTTAGTTTTTTGTGTAGTTAGTTTAGATATGAAAATATATTTCTACTTGATTACTTTGGAGACTTAAGCATACAGTCTTGATGTCTGTGTGGAAAAATTATAGAAAATGTCTTTAACTATAAAAATAATGAAAAAAATTATACAGAAACAATTTATTGACTGCCAGACTCACTGGGAATTCCTGTGTGTTGCAGAAGACTCTAAGAAAGTCTTCTTGGTATTCCCCAATCTAGAGCTCTCTCAGTGGATTTAGGTATACATTTCAAAGTATGGTCATTCTGGATAGGGATGATGGAGGATGTATTCTAACACATTTGGAAGGCTCCTGAATACTGCTTGAACAAGTCAGTTTTATGGCTGATCTAGCGTTGAACAAATACTAGGGAGAAGATTTTATCATAGGTTTTATAGGTCATGCTGTCATCTGAAGGTGTAGTCTATTACGCTTGCATCAGCGGCCCAAAAATGTGTGTTTTTTCATTGAGGTTCATTTACTATGCATTGATAAATTATCCAGGCCGTCCAATAGGATTAGCAAATAGTAGTATGTTATATAAAAATATATGGAAACTGTCCTATCATTACCATAGACATTCTAACAATATAATGTGGCAGATCATCAACACTGTATGATGTCCTTTCTTTTTACTATGTACATTGAATAAATAAGGCAGAATCTGGGCCTAAAAATAGATCTATGTAGGTAAATAGTGGGGGGAAATTAAATTTGAATCCTCAAGCTTCAGAGTTGCATCTTTCTAGTATCTTGCTAGTGGCTGGGGGACTTTTCTAACAATCAGGCATTATGGAATCTTGGGGTTTTGAAATGTTTATTTAACTGTTAATGAAGCTGGCAAGTTGAAATCTTCCATTTGATGCAGCTATGTACACATTATTGGGAAGCCTATTAAATTTGTGGGTTGTTATGACATGTCTTAAATGGTATGTGGAATTAGATTTATTGCTGACTGTCTACGCTGTTTTGTATAATCTAGAACAAATAAAATGAAAGACTGCTAGCATGATGTTGTTAACATGATGGCTACAAACAGAGCACAAAGAATTGCATTTTGGACTTAATCTGAAGTTAGTGATAGAATTTCTATCAGCAGTACTTTTAAGATACAGCCTGTATGTAAAAGAAGGCAAAACTGATGACTGAAAAGATTAACTGAACTTCATAGTTTTTGTTCTGTAACTCACATATACAGCACACTCAAAACAATTCTTGTGTTTCCTTCTAGGTTTTTAGAAGCCATGACCTAGGATACTATATTCAATCACTTTGTTTAAAGACAGTAAAGGCAGATTGATGTTGAATATGGTAGAGCTGCTGCTATTAATGGATTTAACACCTTAATTAAATGTATTCATTGAAAATTAAATATGATCCATAGGAAATATGAATAGCTCACAGTCTTCATTGCTAGATGTTGAAAAGATGGCAAACTATACTACAGTCCCATTGAGGTTTTGTAATATGTTTCCGTGTAAGATATTGCTAGCTCTTAATTTGTTAGATTTGTGTCCTGCCTTTCAATCAAGAGCATCAGGCATATATGTTACCTCCTCCTATTTTTCACCACCACCACAACAACTCTGTGAGGTAATTTGGGCTGAAAGAACAACCCAGTGGTTCCATGGCTGAGGCTGAACTAGAACCTGGGTCTCCCCACTCCTAGTCTTAAGCTTAACTACTAAATCACAGTGGTTCTTAGTGGTGATAAATATATGCTATAAAATGTATCTTCAAACATTTGTGGTAGACATTAAATGTACATATCGGAATATTGTGAGCCTATGTGGCTAACTTGCTGAGTTGGGCAGTAGGATACATTCCAGATATTTTGAACTAAAATTTCCATTATTTCTAGTCTTGGATGGGGCAACACTTCCCTCTCAAGACTGATGCGCAATCTGGGGGTCTTCTTGGACTCACAGCTCATTCTTTTTGTATGTAAATAAATGCTGTTTGTTGACTGTCCAGCAGTTTTCTGCAATTTAAAATATGAGTTCCTAAGGTGGGACAGTTGCTAATTCTACAGTGCCTCTTATACTGTGGGTGCAGAAGCAAGAAGGAGTTACTGCTTTTTCTCCTCCTAATTTTGCAGTTGAATGTTCATATTTCACTGATGACATATTTCCTCCATTGTATATATGATTATTTTGTAGTTGTAGTTATTTCCATTTTTGAGTAATAAATATTTCTGTTATCTCTTCTGTTCCTTATTTTTAGCTGAATACAAGTTGAATTGGTATATGCCAGCCTATGCCTCAAGTAAAGCCACATAGGATTAATTATTTGTGTTAATCTTTAAAGATTGTGTATGCTCCTTTGCTATCCTTCTTGCTAGGCTGAAAAAGTAAACCTATTGGAGGGGTGCTAATGTGCTCAAGACAGGCATAATTTGTAATTTCTGCAGCTTTCTTCAGTGTGGGTGTATTGTAGAAAGGTTGGCTTGCTTTACCTGATGGAACTCTTTCTGTAGGAAGGTCTGCTTGGTCTGGATCAGTGGATGGCAGTTCATATTTACAGAAAAGAAAGAAAGGGGATCTGAGCTTGTCCATGCCAATGACCCTGGCTTTCTGCTATCTGGCATTATTATGGCTGAGAGAATCAATCACATTATCAGATCTTTTAAGGTAATAATAATGTCTAATAAAACATATTGGTTATAATCCTACCTCTACTTCTGCATTTAATTACAGTGTTATGCATTTGGGTAAAAAAAGTTATCGTTGGTTGCACTAAGTAAACCTTGTCACTTTTTTATTCAGCTATGCATGAGTAGATTCACATACTTAAAATATTCACTGACTACCTTTTTAAATGAATAGTTTACAAGATTGATTGCAAATACACATATGTGCTATTCAAACAAAATAATTTGAGCTAATTAAAAAATTTAGTACCAGTCAGTAATCGCAAACCAAAAACAGTACAAAAGTGTCTTGATTAGTCTTTGAAAAGGGGTAATTGAACAGACACCCTATACTGATTCATATTTCTGCTTTGGTCTATCTCCTAATACTCTGTCCATGCTGCATGAAACATGCCTGTATTGGCATGTAGAATATCTCAGCTAGTAGAATGCAGCCAGAAGGGCTATCCCTAATAAATTAAGATACTTTAAG